TTCGCTATTCACCTCATATAAAAATGTGTATTGTAGCGTTATCTCTGTCGCTCGTATGCGATGCTGGTAAAATTTCTCTCTTTTTATTTGGGCCGGCCCGACATTGGCACAAGTTGATGACGTCAAGGTCAAGGCATGCTTTATATCTCGTCGCGTGGTTCGGGTGCTTGCGGTGTTGTCACGTTGTCAGTGTTGTCACTTCATATAATTTATACCAAAAAAAAAAATGAAAAAGCAAAAAATAAAGTAAAACATTGAAGATTGAAAAAAATATTCTTTTTGAAGAAGACAAGGTAGTGCCATGGCACCGTGGCACTACCTCACGAGCCGCCACTGGTGTGAGCGCCATTTGTTTAAGCTCCGGATTCTGGGATATTAGGTGCCGCACACCAGTTTGTGGAGTTGTATCCTTTCAGATTGTACCTTACGTTTAGTTGTTTTGGTTTGGGTTTGGAAGAATAGTGCACTGAATTTAATCCCCAAATATAAAGTTTCAACTTTTTTTAGAAATTTTGACATGCTACCCCGTCCATTTTCCTATGGGATTTTATTCTTCAGCGTTGAAAGGTATTGCGGAGAACCACCACACACTCTCCAAGCTTTATTTTACAGCTGGTATTGCCGGAAGCCACCCCTTCCCGTTGACAAAAAACCCTGATGTGAACAGGTTTTTTTATGGTTATACAGTAAATTTTGGAGAACGAGGCAAGCAACCTTGTAACGTGCCCACTACTGACCACCGCTTTTGTTTTCTTGACCTGAGCACTTATGAGCTGAGGACATCTCGGCTGCGCCTAGCCGTAACTAGGAGAAGACCTCAACCCAGATAAGTTAAGGTTTAGGCACTAAAATATCTGTAAAGCGTGAACCATGGTAAACGTTTCGCGGGGTTAATTATTACGGTCAAATAATTTTATTGTGCGGTAGTTTTTAATAATATCCTTTCTTTCAACTTACACTCCAGTGGTGGGGCATTTGTGCTGTTTGCTAATTACGTTTTGTCATTACCGTGAGATTCTTTTCTTTTGTGTGCATGGTCAGGCAAAACAAGTTTCGATTAACACCTCGGGGATTTGTGACTTAGTCCGTCTTACGTCAGTGTCGCTCTTAGCCTCCCCTGCTGGTGTGAAGTTGGCAGACAAAATTTAGCGGACAATTTGCCGAAAATACCGGAATGACCAGTGGCGTCGACATCCTCGACCAGACTGTGATTGTGAAGGATACAGCTAACAGCTCGCAACAGTAAATGTATATGCACGAGAATAAGCATCCCTATAGGAAGAATCATTTTCCACCCCAATTAAATAATTCGCAGGAACAAGACTTTACCCAAGACCTTTCTTCGAATTTTCACTTACAGAATATGGTATATATGGTATTGAAAGTAATTAATGAGCTAAATAGCATATACTGCGAAAATCTCTAAAAGGGGTGGTAGATAAAAAAATAAATAAAACTTCATTCTCACCGCCAAAAAAATGATTCCTCAAAATGGATTATACTCTATTACAGAGACAATTCATGGGCTAGGTGGCATGGTGTGAGAAAGCTTCTGTAAAGACTGGCAGATAAAAGAATATGTTTATAAATTCATTTTCACCCCCTAGGAAATGATTCCCCAAAATCAGTTGTACCTCAAAAAAAACTCTATTATAGAGACAGCTTATAGGATAGGTTGCATGGTGTGAGAAAGCTTCTGAAAGGCTGGCAGATCAAAAAATATGTTTATAAATTCATGTTGACTCCCAAGAAAATGATTCCCCAAAATCAGTTCTACCTCAAAAAACTACTCTATCACAGAGACAATTTATAGGCTAGGTGGCATGGTGAGAGTCAGCTTCTGAAAGGCTGTCAGATAAAAAATATGTTTATAAATTCATTTTCACTCCCAAGGAAATGATTCCCCAAAATCAGTTGTACCTCAAAAAAAATACTCTATTATATGGACAATTTATAGGCTAGGTGGCATGGTGTGCGAAAGCTTCTGAAAGGCTGGTAGATAAAAAAATATGTTTATAAATTCATTTTCACCCCCAAGGAAATAATTCCCCAAAATCAGTTGTACCTCAAAAAAATACTCTATTATAGATTCTATTTATAGGCTAGGCGGCATGGTGTGAGAAAGCTTCTGGAAGGGTGGCAGATAAAAAAATATGTTTATAAATTCATCTTCACCCTCAAGGAAATGATTCCCCAAAATAAGTTTTACCTCAAAAAAATACTCTATTATAGAGACAATTTATAGGTTAGGTGGCATGGTGTGAGAAAACTTCTGAAAGGCTGGCAGATAGAAAAATATATTTATAAATTCATTTTCACCCCCAAGGAAATGATTCCCCAAAACCTGTTGTACCTCAAAAAATACTCTATTATAGAGACAATCTATAGGCTAGGTGGCATGGTGTGAGAAAGCTTCCGAAAGGCTGGCAGATAAAAAATATGTTTATAAATTAATTTTCACCCCCAAGGAAATGATTCCCCAAAATCAGTTGTACCTCAAAAGAATACTCTATTATAGAGACAATTTATAGGCTAGGTGGCATGGTGTGAGAAAGCTTCTGAAAGGGTGGCAGATAAAAAAATATGTTTACAAATTCATTTTCACCCCCAAGGAAATGATTCCCCAAAATCAGTTGTACCTCAAAAGAATACAATATTATAGAGACAATTTATAGGCTAGGTGGCATGGTGTGAGAAAGCTTCTGAAAGGTTGTTAGATAAAAAAATATGTTTATAAATTCATTTTCACCCCCAAGGAAATGATTCCCCAAAATCTGTTGTACCTCAAAAAAATACCCTATTATAGAGACAATTTATAGGCTAGGTGGCATGGTGTGAGAAAGCTTCTGAAAGGCTGGCAGATAAAAAAATATGTTTATAAATTTATTTTCACCCCCAAGGAAATGATTCCCCAAAATCAGTTGTACCTCAAAAAATACTCTATTATAGAGACAATTTATATGCTAGGTGCCATGGTGTGAGAAATCTTCTGAAAGGCTGGCACAATAAAATATGTTTATAAATTCATTTTCACCCCCAAGGAAATGATTCCCCAAAATCAGTTGAACCTCAAAAAAATACTCTTATTATAGAGACAATTTAAAGGCTAGGTGGCATGGTGTGAGAAAGCTTCTGAAAGGCTGGCAGATGAAAAAGTATGTCTATAAATTCATTTTCACCCCCAAGGAAATGATTCCCCAAAATCAGTTGTACCTCAAAAAAAATACTCTATTATAGAGGCAATTTATAGGCTAGGTGGCATGGTGTGAGAAAGTTTCTGAAAGGCTGGCGGATAAAAAAATGTGTTTGTGAATTGAATTTTATGAACATATTTTTTTATCTGCCACCCTTTCGGAAGCTCTCTCACACCATGCCACCTAGCTTATAAATTGTCTCTATATTAGAGTATTTTTTAAGGTACAACTTATTTTGGGGAATCATTTCCTTGGGGGTGAAAATTAATTTATAAACATATTTTTTTATCTACCAGCCTTTCAGAAGCTTTCGCACACCATGCCACCTAGCCTATAAATTGTCCATATAATAGAGTATTTTTTTTGAGGTACAACTGATTTTGGGGAATCATTTCCTTGGGAGTGAAAATGAATTTATAAACATATTTTTTATCTGACAGCCTTTCAGAAGATTTTTCACACCATGCCACCTAGTCTATAAATTGTCTCTGTAATAGAGTATTTTTTTGAGGTAGAACTGATTTTGGGGAATCATTTCCTTTTGGGTGAAATTGAATTTATAAACATATTTTTTTATCTGCCAGCCTTTCAGAAGTTTTCCCACACCATGCCACCTAGCCTATAAATTGTCTCTATAATAGAGTATTTTTTGAGGTACAACTTATTTTGGGGAATCATTTCCTTGGGGGTGAAAATGAATTTATAGACATACTTCTTCATCTGCCAGCCTTTCAGAAGCTTTCTCACACCATGCCACCTAGCCTTTAAATTATCTCTATAATAAGAGTATTTTTTTGAGGTTCAACTGATTTTGGGGAATTATTTCCTTGGGGTTAAACATGATTTTATAAACATATTTTATGTGCCAGCCTTTCAGAAACTTTCTCACACCATGCCACCTAGCCTATAAATTGTCCCTATAATAGAGTATTTTTTGAGGTACAACTGATTTTGGGGAATCATTTCCATGGTGGTGAAAATGAATGTATAAACATATTTTTTTATCTGTCAGCCTTTCAGAAGCTTTCTCACACCATGCCACCTAGCCTATAAATTGTCTCTATAATAGAGTATTTTTTGAGGTACAACTTATTTTGGGGAATCATTTCCTTGGGGGTGAAAATGAATTTGTAAACATATTTTCTGGGTGAAAATGAAGTTTTGTTTAAATTTTTTTATCTACCACTCCTTTAGAGATTTTCTCAGTATATGCTATTTAGCTCATTAATTGCTTTCAATCACATATATACAATAATCCGTAAGTGAAAATTAGAAGAAATGTTTTGGGTCAACTCTTGTTCCTGCGAATTATTTAACTGTAGTGGAAAATGATTCTTCCTATAGGGGTGCTTATTCTCGTGTATATATATATTTATTGTTGCGAGCTGTTAGCTCTATCCTTCACAATCACAGTCTGGTCGAGGATGTCAACGCCACTGGTCATTCGAGTATCTTCGGAAAATTGTCTGCTAAGTTTGTTCTGCCAACTTCACACCGGTGCCTCCCCTACTCTCTGCTTTGAACTAGGGCCTACTAGCCAGCTGTTTTGCATTGACTGACGCTTAGAATTCATTTATAGTGTTTTATTTATTGGTTCATTAATTAATTTCAAAAAAAGAAAGAGGAATCACACCACGATTTCCTCTTATTTATAAGAAAGGCGTGGCAACCTTCTTAACAAAACTACCCGTTTTTTTTTTAATATAATCACAGTTTTCGTATCCTAAAGCGGGTTTAGATATGACGTGGTAAGAGAACTTTGTAGTTCGCTGATAGAAATTATTTATTTTGATCTTTGTATTAATCTGCTCTCCAACATTTTCAGGTCCAAGTTCTAGGTAAAAATTGCCCGAACTCTGGTAACACAGTTAAACAATGGATTTATAACATGCGATCTGAAAAATGTAATGTTTACAATATTATTTCCATCATACCTACCCAAATACACCAATTGTTACATAAATCATCCACTTTGATCTCATTTCCAGTGCAAAAAGGAAGCCCCCCATGCTCACAGCGGTCATCAAAAATACGAATATTGCTGCTTCCCTGAAAGTAAACCATGGCTATCACTTGCTTTCGTCCGAGTGTCCTTTGATTAGCATATTCGACAGGGTAGTAGTCTGTCATCTACTCGATAATCATTCTCGCCATTATAATATATTAGGAATATTCATTTCAAATTTGCATAAAATAAAGACAACAAGGTATTAACCCTCGTGCTGAGTTAGCACGGAGCTACATTTTTTAAAACCGGTCCAGTCGATACAGACTTAGCCAAAAATATCTCCTCACTAGCCACTAAAAAATAATATTCTTCGATAAAATGATATAATGCGTTGTCTTGGAATTTCGCAATCAACTTATTTGATGCTGTTCTTTTTATGAGTTGTGTACACTTACTTGTATCGATGAGTTTGATCTAAAACAATTCCAATCAAAATTGATCCCAGCATTCCAACTAAGATCATAACTAAACCCATCCTACCAGCGTCTTCCTGAGCTTCCTATAATTCAATATAGAGTAAAGAAGAAAATATTTGATACCGAGGATATGGCCAATATAAAGGAATAATAGAATCATTCGCCGAATACTAACTGTCCTTGCCGATTTTGCAATATTATTTATTTTTATGAAGGTGAAGAATATACAGGGTGACTTCGAAGTTGAGTCATTTATTTTAACAGTGAGTAGATCTGATCAAAAGAAATGTTTTTTTCCTTTACCATTTTCCTGGTAAAATTAAAGTAACAAAGTTATAGCCCTTTGGAAGTTTGAGTACCGCCCTGTCTCAATAACAATATTATGTGGTCGTGTTTGGCGACAATGGATATAATCCGCCGTATCGGTTCATCGCATCGGAAACAAAAAAGCGAAAGAATTTGGAACGATGTTTTTACAGGTATCTCATTCATTTGTATACAGTTAGTGTCAGTGAATAGTGGTATGTGTTGCGTGGCTCAAACGAAATAAAAAATGGCACATGTTTATGCGGATCGGTTTCCCAATCGAGTGCAACCAACCCCTCGTGCCTTTGTTAATGTAGTACAACGGGCTTGTGAATCAGGTGACTTAAGACCTCACAGTGGACCTCACGATCAAATACAGGTCCGCACTGAAATACTTGTCGGGAGGATACTTTATAAAACAAGGTAAAAATTTTTTTTTATTTTTTTTTTATTTTTACACACATATTTTGGTTTATCTTCCTTCTACAATCATTATCTGAAAATTAATGACTCAACTTCAAAGTCACCCTGTATATATACGTATATACAGGCTGTAAAGTTAGTAGTTGATCAACGGAAGTCAGGTGTTAGAAGGCTTGAAAACCTATCGAATGAACTCCTATCTATGTGTGGTCCGAAATTTTATAGTTCAGGAGATTTTTGCAATTTTGAGACATTTAAATAAAAACTATATAATGAACTTTCAATCGCAATTAGGTGTAGGGCTGTGATTTTTTCTGAGATGAGCTGAATCGTTAGTTTTAGCAATGGTTATGTCACTTTTTAACAGAGCCTATTATAAATCAACGCAAAAAATCTTAAATTCATTTTTTTGTGAAAAATCTCTTCCATCCCTCCAACTTTGGAGGGCGGTAAAAAAAATTGAGGTTGTATTTCATTAGGTATTCATTCTATTGTAAAGACTATTTCAACCCATGTAGAATAAACCCTGAAAATTTCAGCTTGCTACGATGAGTGTTTCATGTCACATTCGTTGCAATAAACGTAAGAAACGCAACAGAATCCTTACCACCTACAAGTACAGAACCTATTGTGTTTAAAACCGCTCCATTTTTTTTATAAACAAGCGACACCTTCTAATCAAAAGGTCCTTTAGTCTTTGAAATGAATGTGCGTATTCCATAATCTTTATTTTTGCTTCATCAATTTTCTGGCGCAGTTGGTTGACGTTTGTATATTCAGATGTATAGATTATCCCCTTATACAGTCCTCATATAAAAAAATCTAGAGGATTTAAAACGGGTGACCTTGGAGGCCATCGTATGTGTCCACCTCTACCTATCCAATGCCCAGGAAAGGTACTGTCTAAGTAATGCCGTACATCCCGTGCAAAGGGGCATGGGGCCCCATCGCATTGAAAATACATGCGGCTTCGAACGCCCAAAGGTAGCGGCTAATGCGAACTGGTTTGTAGAAAAGCAAGATATGACTGACCATTCAACCTAGCGGGCAATTCATATGATCCAATTAATTTTTTGTTGAGTACTCCAGCCCATAAATTAACGCCGAACCGACGTTGAAACCTGTGTCGGCGAATAGCGTGTGGATTTTCCACGCTTCATGAATGGAAATTGTGCATGTTGAATATTCCATTTCGGTTAAAGTTGGATTCATCTGTCCATAGGATGCTCTCTAAAAAGTTTCATCCTCTTCACACCTCTTCAACATATTCTCACAAAATTCAGCCCATTGTGCATAGTCACTTGGAAGCATTCTTGTACTTTCTGTACATAGCAAGGATGCGTAGTATTGTATGGGATACGTTTCTGCTTCGGGCAATGGCTCTGGTGATTATAGAGGGATCTCTCTCGGCTGCTTCTATTATAACTTCTATTTCTTCTGTGCGTATCCTCGGCGCTCCTAGCTGACGATGAGTTCCTAGTATGCGGCATTTGCCCATTATTTTCCTACTTTTTGTTATATACCATTTTCTCTTTGTAGATCCTTTGGGTTTGAAGTACCACATCAAGTGGCTATAACCGGCTGCGTGGTTTTGATTAGATGTCTCCTTGAAAATTCGAGGTCTTCTAGCCGTTTTTTACTACAATGTGTAGGTTGGTTCTTGTTGTGGACTTCGTGTGTCGTTTTTTTTCCTTATCATCTTCGTTTCCTCAGGTTACACCCGTATCCGGATGTGTGGGCATGTGTATCTACTTTTCTAGTTTCATATGTGCAATCATTTCGGGCCTGATGAAGCCAACCAGCAGAAATACGTATCGCTCGGGTTACCTATCCTATTTTCTGCTCGAATCCACGTTCCTCCTTTTTGCGGATTTTGACCATTATTTTCCTACTTTTTGTTATATACCTTTCTCCGCATGATTTTCTCTCTCTCTCTATATATATATATATATATACAACCAATTGTTAATTGGGAAATTGGCAAATTTTTAGGCTTAAGTTGAGTCTTTTGACGATAAAATCAAGCTTTCGGCATTCTCTATGGAGCCTTCATCAGGATTCTGAAAACACAATTGTGATGCTAGCAAAGAAAACAGGGCAGGTTTAAATTGTCAAACAACTTACTCGTCGTTGAGGTTGCAGCCACAAGGTGTTTCGAAACGAACGTGGAGAAGATAGAACTCGTAAAAAGTATAAAATCAAAAGGACTGAGATATTTTGCTTGATAACGACAGATACCTTCGTTACATGTTAGGAATATCAATACACCCGAACATATTAAAAATTATTACACGTGAGAAGACATTTTAGTGAAACAATCGGAATGCAGTCTCTAACCTCCTACTTCCGCTACACGTGGAGAGGGAGACGGTACGGAAAGATAATGCGCCGACAGATGACAACTGATTGACGCGACGGACCGTGGAACTGTGAACCTCAGGCAGCAGCGGTGGCCGCAGTAGTAGACTCTTCGGTCTCCTGATCAGTCGCCGTGCGCTTTGCGGGTTCGAGTCTGTCCCAGGAGAAATTTTTCTCTTGGCTATGGATGTTGTGATTGTCCGTAGGTGGTAGACGGTCTCTGACTGTCGAACGTGGAGGTACCACCCGGCGGATCTCGTAGGCGGAGCCAGAATGTGTGCATGTTGCATGTCCGTGTGGCGTTCCCCCTTTCCCCTGTATCCCCCTATAGCCCCACGGTACCCAATGGGCCTTCGTGGTAGTTGTAATATAAAAAAAACTCATTGTCCAATTTGGGTATGAAGTATACGAGGGACGCTCGGTAAACCTCCACCCAAATTAATAAAATGCTGAATTAATTCGTTTTGGAAAAATGTGTAGTTTATATGGGTGTACGAATGTGATAGTGATACCACCTTGAAAAGATGTGTTATGTGAGTTTATATTACAGATTGTGAGTGAGAAAATGTATTCTAATTTTGTGACGATGTTGGTTCGATTTGGATATGTAGCCGTGTAGCTTTTCGCAATTCAACAGGTAGGAATAAATGACACTGAGCTGCTTAACATCAGCCTATTTATTCATGCAATGATCTGTCATGAAAATGTGGGACATTTCTAAAAATAAACGTTTTGAGAGTCTTTTTTCTTTATCTAGAACCTCAATACTGCCATAATTCATAGAGTGACCTGTGTTGTTAATATGAGATGCCAAAGCACATCTCTCTGGATGTAATCTGGCGTCACTTTTATGTGAAGTTATCCTGCCATTCAGTGACCTAGAACTTTGACCTATACACCTTGGGAAAAAACATTATTATACATTATGATGAGGAAGAGAGATGGAAATATATAAAAGTATGTAGGTGCGTGAAAGACACTCGATTGTAGAATCCTATGTGGCAGCATCGTTGTGTGACGGACAACGGGGTAAAGTAGAAGAGTGATAAAAGAGAGAGATGGCAGAACGGGCGCTGGCGCCTACCGCTTAGACGGATGCGCTCAACAAATGCGATTTGTTTCTCCCATTCGCAGAGTTGCCGATACCAATATGTCATATTTCTAAGAAATCTAAGTCTACCCAAATTTCGGGAAAAATAGCTGCGGATTCCACATAAGAGTATTCCAAAAATGAAAAAAGTTCAAATCATATTTTTCATGTTTGTATATTGTTGTATAAATGATTTTGTAATCCCTATTCTTGTTGCCAGTAGAGATAAAACAGTATTGAGAGAAGTCATGCACCGCTAGATAGGGCTACAACTACCATATGACTATCAAATAGTAGTGATAAACAGGGTTTGTTTATAGCACAGTTGCCTGGTGTGGCGAATTTGCGCCATAGGGGCGATTTGACAACTTTGAAGGACAACTATAACGGTTACTATGGTGCCCGGTATTCGGGAATCTGGCAATACCTGATGATTCCTAACGTTTATTACGCCAGATTGTTTGCTGACTTGCGCAGTACAACATGACAATCAACGTGACTGAGCACCTGGTAACCTTGGATTAAGGTGTTATATTTAAAGAGCTTGGGGCAGTTAGGTATCTAGGTCACATTTTTTAATGTATTTCGAGAAATCCGTAATGTTGAGTAAATACTAGATCACGTTTCTTGCTTAGTTTGCTGAAAATTCTACAAAAGACGTACATTTTGAGAAACAGAGATTTGGTGACGACAAAATCGTAAAAATATAACGCATTTTCGTAAAATAATTTCTTTGTTGAAAAGACTGTGGCTTGATGACCCATTGAACGAGTATAGTGTCCCTCTCCGCTTTGAATATTCGAAACACTATACTCCAGCAGCATTCAGCTTCAATGTTATCTTTATGAAGTGCTAACGTCTAGGCCATGCTGATTAAAAGCTTGAATGAATCAACACTTAACTCTAAATTCCCCACAATTCGGGAAGCTCTACTCAAATTGGAAACACAGCGTATCTGCCTATTATTCTCATTCGTGATACAGGTCTGCGGTTAACGGTAGGAAATATGTACGAATAGCGATGAAAGTAGACGAGCCGATGCTCTGTTGCCAAGAAATGATTTCCCATGTATAACAATGGTTTTTCCTAAGGTGTATAAACTAAATTACAGTTGTTGCAATGAATGCTATAGACAGTGTTGGTTGAATCAAGCAACTGAACCTTATCCTTCTTTTTGGACAACAAACTGTTGACTGTGAGCACTGATTTACAAGCAAAACGACAATTAAAGGAATTATATAGCCTGATCAATTTTGGTGTTAGTTCTTTGATGTATGGCAAGAAAACATAATTAACTCTGGCAATAGAACCAACCACTGTAGTGCTGTAATTCTCATTGGTTGAAGAATTCATGGGTGTCTGATTGGACTGAACAGTGTTGTCATTTTCACTATTGTTATTCGTCATTGGCAAAATATTCGGAGGAGAGCTGAACGAGATTCTTTTAACCAAATACTTCGGATAGCCATTGTTGATAAATAAGACTGAAAGCTTCCTTAAATTGGAAAGATGGAAAGTATTGTCAGCGATTTTTATAACCCTGTTCTTCATTTGTTTCACCAGGTTTATTTTTATTTTAAGTTCGTGGTAAGACCCGAAGTTCAGGAACCTTCCGGAAGAAATTGGTTTCCTGTACCAGTCTACCAGTAATATATTGTCATTGGTGCGAATCAATCTTGAATCCAAAAAGGGAGCAGATTGATTGACATCTTTTTTTTGATGGTGAACTGGATGTAGGGATCATAACTGTTAAAAACTTCAACAATATCATCCACACTATCATAAGGAAGACAAACGATAATATCGTCCACATACTTTTTTATGAAAATTAGATTGTATGGCAATACTTGAATAACAACATCAAGCAGGTCATCCATTACATATTCTGCCAAAATTGGAGACAACACAGAGCCCATGGGGCAACCATGTGTTTGTGAAAACACTTTGTTATTAAAAGTAAAATAATTGTTCTGGAAAAGGTACTCTACGATATTGATGGAAGAATCCAGAGTTAGGTTGCTGTGTTGGCAAATTTGATCCCAATGTTTGTTGATGGATCTGATGCAAGCTTCTAAATACACATTGCTGAACAGTGAAACTACATCTAGACTCGCAATCACATGATCAGGGGGAATTTGAAACCTCGTCCCTCGTATACTTCATACCCAAATTAGACAATGAGGTTCACAGTTCCACGGTCAATCACTTGTCATCTGTCGACGCATTATCTTTCCGTGCCGTCCCCCTCTCCACGTGTAGCGGAAGTAGGAGGTTAGAGACTGCATTCCGATTGCTTCACTAAAATGTCTTCTCACGTGTAATAATTTTTAATATGTTCGGGTGTATTGATATTCTTAACATGTAACGAAGATATCTGTCGTTATCATGAAGCCCAATGTCTCCGTCCTTTTGTTTTTATACTTGTTACGAGTTCTATCTTCTCTACGTTCGTTTTGAAACACCTTGTGGCTGCAACCTCAACGACGATTAAGTTGTTTAACAATTTAAATCTGTCCTGTTTTCTTTGCTAGCATCACAATTGTGTTTTCAGAATCCTGATGAAGGCTCCATAGAGAATGCCGAAAGCTTGATTTTATCGTCAAAAGAGTCAACTTAAGCCTAAAAATTTGCCAATTTCCCAATTAACAATTGACTGTATTTTGTGCCGAACTGGTCGTTGGCTTTGGCAATGACTCCTGCTCATATATATATACAGGGTGTCCGCAAAGTTGGGGTTTTCCTTTTCAGAAACAACTACCCTTGAAATAACAAAGGTAATGTGTAGTGAAACGAGGGCGACCAAGTAAAAAAAATAAAGGAAAAAGTACTCACTCTCCAGTTGACGAGAAGGGCTAAGTACGTCTCTGCCTGAAATCGAAAGTTATTCACCCCATTACGCGTGAACGTAGATTCGTCTGTTACCAATATGCACTTCAAAAAGTCCGGATTATAGTCATGTTGATGCAACAACCACTCACAAAACCGCACTCTTGCTGGAAAATCGTCAGGTTGAAGGGCTTGTACACGTTGGACCTTTGCCACACTTTAGTTTTTGATACTTGCACGTCTCTAGCCACGTCTCTAGTGCTTGTTGAGGGATTCTCGTCTACGCGATTCAGTAGTTCTTCCTCAACTTGCACCATTCGTGGTTGTCTAGGCCTCCCACTGTGCACACCTCGAAATTCCTCCAAATGGCTCGTATCCCTGACTCTCTGGACCAGGTACACAAATCTGCGGGGCCTTGGATGATGTCGTCTAGGGAAACGATCTGCATACACTCGCGACGATTCTGTATCATTTTGAAGACATTCGCCATAAATTAACAACATATCAACGAGTTCATTATTGGTGTATGAGTGTACCATTATTATTTTTTTTTTTGAAACGCAATCGATTATACGGGTTCGTTACCTCTATACACGTGACCCTTTACCGTCGGTTGAAGGTTGCATACTGACCTGACACACTGACCCCGACCCCCGACCCAGTTCTGTCGTCGGGTTCAGCTAGTAGCCGGTACCAGTCTGAGATATCGCGGGTCGCGGCTACAGGACGGTATTCAGATATTTTTGATGTTGCAGAGCCCTTTATCTCGGTTCCCTTAAGACATTGGTGTATATGGTACTAAGAAAAATTGCTTATGTTTTCAAGATCTACACGTCGTGTAAAGGAAAACCCCAACTTTGCGGACACCCTGTATATACAGGGTGGCCCATCCATGTGTGGACGGAATATTACTCATAAACAAATACATTTTGGGAAAATCTATTTATGGGATGTTATACATGACATTTGAGGGCACATTTCTAAAATATTGGCCATTATACAGGTTGTCCCAATTTCGACCCGCATATCAAAGCTGTGATTTTTCAATTAGAATGCCTCAAATTTTATTGCATATTTGTATAAACCAATTCAAAAGAAGAAAATTG